CACACTGTTTAACAGTAGTGTTTGACACATCATTTACATTAAATACAAATACATTTAACACCATATGTATGTTTTAATCATTCCAGTACATATAAACTAATGTTCCTACAGTATATTTACAATAATTTCAAAACGTGTATTATTTATTCATGATTTCTTATGTTAACTGATACTGAAAACACTATTAACATTGTAAATCCTATTTCAAACCTTTTTAACTGCTTATAGTCCCAACACATTTAACAACAAACCTTTTCTGTTTGATGAGATTTTGTGAGATTGGCTTTTTGAACTATCTTTCCAGCATATATCTTGTTTGTAGTCAAATCTGTTATTTCATGGACATGGGCAAACCCTCCCTTTTGGGAAAAAGAAATTATGTTCATCATATAGATAAATTAACACAAAACAGGATAATAGAACAATGACAAATCTGACAGGATAATTGAACAATAACAAATCTGACAGGATAATTGAACAATAACAAATCTGACAGGATAATTGAACAATAACAAATCTGACAGGATAATTGAACAATAAAAAATCTGATTTTCTATTTGTTCTGAACTGTAAAAGCTATAAATAAAAGTAATCAATTTAGATATGTATTTATAAGGGAAACAACTTTACAAAGTAAATATACAATACCTGAAAGCATAAACAACATAAAACATTACAAATTCAAAATGATATTCATTAAAAAGCATAGAAAATTATTATAATTTCAACAAGAAAGTTATTAAAATTCTGTTTATCTTAAAACAATGTTGAAAGCAAATGTTTTTCTAATTATCACAATAAGCTGAAAAAAATTAAATGTACTGGGCGGTACCAAACCAAGCAAAATTAGTTTTTTCAAATGAATAATGCAATGGCAAAATAAGTTCTGGTCTTAACAAATTCTTAAAAAGTAGCAACACTATAGATAAAGTATGTGAAGTATGAGATAAAATTTTACTAATAATCAAAAATTAAAAGCATCAGCAAAAAGCATGTTAGAGTAATAAAATCAATATTGAATAAAAAACAAACACAACGTATTATAGCTGGACGATTAGTAGAATTTGCTAATTGATGAATCAACAAGCTCCTTAACTGATTACATTCAACTAATCAGTTATTCTCCCATGAGATTTGAATAATAGAAAATAGTAATAATCACTAACTGAAATTAACCTGAACAGCCTTGGATTCATCTAAAATAATAATGAGAAACCAGAGTGAAAATACTTGGATTATTGGAATAATCAAAACACTAATTTACATTAGTTGATTATTTGTATGACATTAATTGATTTAATTGTAATTTTGATAAATCAATTATTTTATGTGGCACTAATCAACATATTCAAAGTTCCTATGTAATCCATTATATCAATAAATCAGCTTTTATACACCAATAAATCAAGTTAATCAACCGGCTTTATACATTAATAAATCAAGTTAATCAACCGGCTTTATACATTAATAAATCTAGTTAGCCATCCGGCTTTATACACCAATAAATCTAGTTAGCCATCCGGCTTTATACACCAATAAATCTAGTTAGCCATCCGGCTTTATACACCAATAAATCTAGTTAGCCATCCGGCTTTATACACCAATAAATCTAGTTAGCCATCCGGCTTTATACACCAATAAATCTAGTTAGCCATCCGGCTTTATACACCAATAAATCAAGTTAGCCATCCGGCTTTATACACCAATAAATCAAGTTAGCCATCCGGCTTTATACACCAATAAATCAAGTTAGCCATCTGGCTTTATACACCAATAAATCAAGTTAGCCATCTGGCTTTATACACCAATAAATCAAGTTAATCATCCGGCTTTATACACCAATAAATCTAGTTAATCATCCGGCTTTATACACCAATAAATCAAGTTAATCAACCGGCTTTATACACCAATAAATCAAGTTAATCAACCGGCTTTATACACCAATAAATCAAGTTAACCATCCGGCTTTATACACCAATAAATCTAGTTAATCATCTGGCTTTATACACCAATACTTGTACCAAAGTTAAGATTATCATACTGATAGAAACAAAAAATGTAAGCTTCAATTTAATAAAATGCAAACTGATACACATTTAATGCTTCATAATAATAAAACAAATATTTCCACTTAATTGGATATTTGAATATTTTTGATACTTTTTTATTTTCACTTTATTTTTTTACCATTGCATCTCTTCGATATTATAGCAGTCTTGTTTGACTTAAAACCTTACACATGGTATATTAATAATAACACTTCAAAAAACAATATATTCAGGTGTTATGCTTCTAAATAATCATTTAAAGGTTTGTTTGTTTTTTATGCTAAAATATTTCAGAATAATGAAAAGAAGATACTTATACTGATGGAGCCAATAGTCAAAAATTGACAATTTTTTAATTTTTTAAATTATAGTATGTTCTAAATTTGCATATGGTGTAAAGCTGTAGAATAACAAGTCTCAGTGTTGTGTAACAGTTCACTCTCCAAGTGTCTCATTCCTACATACATGGGCCTATACATTTATTTCAAAGAATGTAAAAGTAACAAAAATTAAAACTATAGGATATTATGAACAAAGATTCCAAACCTGGAGATTATCTTTGTTATCACTGAAAGTGTCACAAAACAGATCACTTAACTTACTACTTATAAACCACATTTAAATGTTCATAAAAAAAAACTTGGTTTCAGGTAACATTTCAGGATTTGAAACCAGATGAAACAGACTCTCTGAAAGTGTTATCTTCAGTTTTAGTAAGAGAATCTCAAATAATCTTTGAGATCAGTTGTTTAAGAATATTTTACTTAACATTTATTAACTGTTTTCATCGACCTTTGACACCACACTACTTGTGGTTTAATGGTAAACATTGAAGTTAAACATTAATTAGACAAGAAGGAAATTGGTAACTAAAAGAAAAATTATTTGAAAGATGACAACATCATTGTGAAAAGTCTCTTTAAAAACTGAAAATTATCAAATAACAATAAAAAACATATTTAGAAAAAATTCTCAGTTATCCACCAAAGTAAAAAGCTTACATCGATAAGTATGTTAGACTTTTTGTATGTTTTAGTTCTAATATACACATTGTTTTATTTACATTAATAAAAAATTAATTTAATTTAAATTCATACAATATTTATCTTAATTAAAATCTAAACAATAAACACAATTAGCATAACAGTTTACTCAGTGGATCTAGTTCTGTTGTCAGCTGACAAAAAGCAAAATGTACAAGTAGACTAGAAATATAAACATTTTTTTCCCTTTCTATAACAAATAAAGGAAAAAAACCTGAGCAGCATGTAATGACTTCTCAACAAAGGCTTGAAAGTCACATTTAACAGTTTTCTGTGAATTACTTTAGATTGCAAAAACATAAACACCTTTCTTAAAGCTTTATTTTATGTTTGAATATTTTTACAACTTGTATTTTTTATTTATAATTTGGGCTTGAAATAAAAAACAAAATATGGACAACTTTACCTTTCCAAGAAACTTTCCTTTCAAGTATGTAGTCTTTGTTCTGGGGTCCACAATGTATTCTGAAAGTTCTATATTGTTGTTGTTCAACTTTTTCTCCATACCTTGGTTTGTTTTTTGATTTTGTCTATGACTAAGCTTACAGATGAAGTTTGTTTCCTCATCTTGAACATGGCATATTTTTACACTCATTCTGTGCTATGACCTGATCATGCCCCTGTTGATAAATTGAAAATAATTAACTACTAAGCATAGAATTTATTCAAGTTTTGGTTTAGTCTCCAATAATCATAACAAGAAACAAAATATTTCAGTTAGGATATATTGTTTCAAAACTATAGATTCATATGCAACCGATATATATTTAATTGAAAAGTGAATGAGAATCAAACACATTAAGTAGTTAACATATCTACATCTCACAAAGGGTTTTTAAGCAGAACTTTAAGAAACAGGAAATGAAAAATTCATTGAGAAACTAGTTATAATTGCTTACTGCAATCATTCAACGGCCAAAAACGTCTACCAAGGGACCAGAATTTATTTATATTTGTGTTTAATGCCTGGATCTGTTGATTAAACAGCTAATTTTAGATTTTAAGATATACAAATCCTCTTACGGTCAGGAAAGTGTGTGTGGTGGGGGGGGGGGGGGAGGGTACAAACTTAAGGTAAGTTATAGTCGTACTTCTTCATTAATATATATAATGATAATACAAAAATT